TATTGGGGGGTCCCCTATTTTGGTGAACCCCCAAATCTTGAACGACCGTTGCCAAGGACTTCCTTCCGAAGGATTTGGCAGAGAAGACCTTTTCCACCATGCAGCTTGGGGGTTTTTCTGGGGCGAGCATCTGACCAAAAACTGCCGGTTTGGGGTTTGGGGTGTAGGGTCTCCGGCCCGGGGGTACTTGACGCAGAGACTTTGAGACTGTGAGCCTTTATGGCCCGTTTGCGCTGTGGTTTCGGGTTGACGTGGATACTTAAACATCGTCAAGTAAGGGTCCAGGCAGCTCCGGCACAGGTTGCGAAACGTGCCCTCGCCTGGCCTGCAGGAAGGTGCCCCTGAATCGCCCTAAACCTCAAAGGCTTCCAAGAACTCAAACACCAAGCCATGATGTAGGGATCTTAGTTTATCGGGTCTATAGGGAAGCCCCGAGCCCCTAAATCAAGCTTTTTTGCTTGCCTTGGATTTTGGGGCACTCCCAAGGCAATCCTTGCAACCGGACGAGTGGTCCGAGTCGAACTCCTCACAGTATGACGACAAAGGGCAATACGGGGACAAGAGCGCCAGCCACTGGTTCTACAGGCCCGGGTTTAGGGTTTAGGGTTTAGGGTTTAGACTGTTGAAGCCATCTAAACGCTGGGTGTTGCAGCAAGTTTGTACTGTCTTTGGGGCCTCTTGAAGATCGGTGTTCGGGCATTCACTGCGGGATGTCATTGCTGAGACGTTTCTCATGGGAAGGTGTACCGGAAGCTTGTATACAATGGTGCTAAATAGCCTGTTGTGTATTGCAGGCTTGCCTGTGCATGTCCAACGTCCAGTAAACGTTGCCGTAATTAGTGAAGGTCCTAAACCCTAAGCCCTAAACCCTAAACCGTGGTTCTGGACAGGTCTTGACTTTCGCTTCTTGACTTGCAGATCGGACCTCTTTCTTCGCCTCTAGCACCCCCCCGCCCCGCCACATCACAACCTTTCACGAGATGCAGGGTTTAGGGTTTGGGGTTTATAAGGTTTAGTGTTTCGTTTCATCATTTCGTGTCAAAATCTCAAGCGCAAGGCTGCCAAGTGCGCGGCTCCCCATCAGCATATAGGAGCTGTTCTGAAGCCAGACCCTGCAAGAGGTACGACGGTGACAAGCTGAACGACACTGTTCGTGAGATTCAATCCATTGGATCTGGCTTCTTTCCCAGCTTCCAGGCCATGAGACCTGGATCCTCTGTGAGCCCCTTGAGCCCCCCACTTTAGGACTTTAGGGTTTAGGGTTTAGGGTTCCTAAACGCTCACCCTCCCCCTTCCCCTCAGCTTTGGGTTCCTTCATGGGGGGGTTCGGGGGTGTGAGCGCAGTTTTTTTTCACCCTTGGTTGCTAGCTAGTGTTGCGAGGCCGCGAAGTACGAGACCAGTGGCAACCTCTGCGCCCACGATGATAGCAACTACTTCTGCGTCCCCGCCACGGACCCCAACCGGAGCAAGGACCATGCAGTGTTGAGATGCAGCGGCATCTTCTCTGAGCTTGCAAAGCAAGACTAGACCATGCTCCGAATCCCTTCCCAGAAGGGTCCTGGACCCTATGACCCAGCAGGAGTATCCTGCCGGCCAGCTGCTCTTCCGAAAGATCGCTGTCATTTACTACCTGACCAAAGACTGGCGTCAGGACTGCCAGAGGTTAGAAGACTCTTCCCACATGTTGAGGTCGTCCAGGAAGGTTGTTTTTTTTGTGTTTTTGGGGGATGGCTGTTGAACTGCGCAGCCTTATATCCTGGGTACCCAGAAAGGGGACTGTCGTTTTGAGCAATGTTTTGGGAGCTCAGGACGTTTTGGGTCCACATTGCCTCAGGGTCGGGACAGACACGGGCAGAAGCCAGCAATGAAACCTCACTTCTTTCGAAAGCCGCATCCTGGGCACATGGGGAGAATGTGAAACACCCATGCAAAACAAAGAAATCCTGGAGTCAGGACTATGGCGGGTCTTTGCTAGACCTGCACGGCGACACGAAGCACCTTGCATGGATCGGAGAACACCCATCTGCTTTCACAGTTGCAGCAGCCCGCAACAGAAGCAACAATGAGATCGAGCAGCATTTCAGAATCCGAAAACCCAAGCCCCAAGCTAAAGCCTTAACCTAGAGCAGTGCCGAGGCACCTGGTGCCGCGCTTCAATTCCCTGGTGGCATTCCTGGTGCCAGAGCTTGAGATGAGATAGGAGGGAGCTGTGGCTTCAGGGGGACGTCTGGGCCTGATGGCGAGGTTTCAGAGGTGTTTTGGTGCGAAGTGAGAGGATTCTAAGCCATGTGCCAAAAAGCAGAAGCCCCAGCCCACATACCAAGCAACGTGGCTCGGAGTGCTGCTGCCAGTTACGTCATGAGACATAAGATTGAGGGTAAAGCCCTTTACCCTCACCTCCCACATTGCTGGGCTCTTTTATTGAAGTGGCCTTGGACAAATATACTGTCGTGGACTTCTGGGGTGCCTGGTCATGGTCGATACAGACCTCGTCTTGCGACCTCGACATGGCAGGGCTTTAAGCCCACAAGGCCATGCATGAGCGTGAGTCGACATTTCTATCGTTACCTCAGGAACTAGGCTTATACTCTTGTTGTATCAGGCACGCAAGCAAGAATTCAGAATGTCATGTTCAAATAGTCCTTCGGAGACTCTGGGTTTACAAAGCAGGGAGCTTGCTGGAGGTTCCACGCGTGCATCAAGTTGAAGAGTTGTCCGCCGGCTGCTGGGCAGATTTGGGCTGATTTGGGCTTGGTATATAGGCCTCGGAGGCTTCCTCAGGGCTTGGGTTTATCTAAAGGTTTTGTGGCTCATTTCGGGGTTTTTGGCGGCTTGCAAGGCTTAAAGGGAGTTTTGGGCATGCACTCGGGCTCCTTCTTGCAGGTGGAAGATAAGGGTCGGTATAGCTAGTAATAGTTAGTATTCCCTTAGGGTCCCTTGGTAGTTATACTATAAGAACCCCCAAAACCCTATTCTAATCATTCAGGCCCCTATTTTTAGATACTTGGACTCCTCTATCCGAGGCTGCCCGCCCCGCTTCTCGATCTTCGGCTGGTTCAGCGACGCCGCGCCTTATCCCAGCGAGCAGGGCTTGGTGCCCCTCCGCAAGTTGTGGCCAGGAGGTTAGGGTGTTTATAGGTTTTTTCGGTTTATAGGGTTTTAGGCTTAAGGGTTTATGTGGCCAGGAGATTAGGGTTCATAGGTTTTTCGGTTGAGGCTTTTAGGGTTAAGGGTTTAAAGGGGTGTAGGATTGAGTTCTGAACTGCAGAGTATCCAAAGGTTGAGAGAAGCCAATAGCCCTGGAGTCCCGACCCCAACGCCCAACATCGAAAGCCTCGAAGATTTGAAACTAAACCCTCCCTAAACCCTCAACCCTAAACCCACAACCCTCAACCCTAAACCCTAACCCCGCAACCCTCAACCCTCAACGAAACCCTACGGAAGCAGCCAAGGCGAAGAAGCCCTGGCTGTCAACCATGGACTCACGTGGCCTGCGCTAGGCTTGGGATTGGCCCACTAGGGTGCCCAGTTGAGCCGAGCATGGCGGGTCCACAAAAAAGAGCCGGGTCGGCTGTGTTCTAGTCGGGCTTTGGGCATGGATGGTAGAAGGGGACCTGGGCTACATGAGAAAAGCAAGCAGAAAAACAAGGTGGTGGTGGTGGTGGGGGGTTGGGGGGGGGGGGGGCAGTTCGGCTACAGGTTGTAGCTTGTAGTATGCTGCAAAAGTGCCACTTGCAACGATTTCCTGAAGCTCTCTCTTTGGCGAAGCCAACTCCCTCACCTTGACTAATTTTTGAGCATCGCACCCCCTAATGATGAGTTTGCCCGCTGTTGTTGGATGAGTGCTCCCGCTCTTGTTTGCTTTTTCTGTAAAAGACGATCTTCTCCTAGCAGGGGTTAGGCTATATGCGCCACACATCAATATGCGCACCAATATGCACGGGAGACGAAGCCTGCGCTTCCAGTGGCCTAAGCCGTCTACGCCCTGCAGCCCTAAACCCTGGACCCTACAAGCCCTGTATAGTATAGTATAGTATAGTATAGTTTAGTATAGTATAGTATAGTATACGCCCCGAAAGGTACTGCATAGGAATACGAGCCTGCAGGCGCAAACCTGACAAGAAACCTTGCCGTTGGCCGGTTGCCCTCGTCTGCGTTGTCTCCTGTGCATCCTTCCCAAAACCCAAAACCCTAAACCCTAAACCTAAACCCCTAAACCCCGACTTTGGCAGAGCTCAACCCTGGAAGCTTCGACAGGCCAGTCTAGAAGACAATTTTTGAATCAGGTCTTGTCCCTACAAACCCGAAACCCTACACCATACAAAGACCCTATAAAGACAATCAACTCCGTCACCATCTCACAATCCTGCATAGACCCTCTTCGAAGCCCATATAAGGTCGATCAGCCTCGTAAACCCATATCCGGGGTCCTAAACTTCTGAACCAAGTAAGCCCCAAAACCGCAAAGCCTGAACCCTAAACCCCAAACACAAACCTCACACCAAATCCCAAACCCCAAACCCAACCGCAAACTCTAAATGGGGGGTTTACGATAGTCGCGCGCCTTTTGGGGTCCTACATTATAAGAGGATCCGACTATTTGGGGGTCTATATTTTGCGTCCCTTATTATCGTAAACTCCAAACCCTAAACCCGTAAACCCCTGAACCCCTAAACCCCTAATTAAGCCCCTAAACCCCTCAACCCCTAACCCCCTAAGCCCCTAACCCCGAAACCCCTAAACCCCTCAACCCCTAAGCCCCTAAAACCCTGAACCCCTAAACCCCTAACCCCTAAACCCCTAAACCCCTAACCCCTAAACCCCTAAACCCTAAACCCCCTAAACCCCTAAACCCCTAAACCCTAAACCCTAAACCCTAAACCCTAAACCCTAAACCCTAAACCCTAAACCCTAAACCCTAAACCCTAAACCCTAAACCCTAAACCCTAAACCCTAAACCCTAACCCTAAACCCTAAACCCTAAACCCTAAACCTTGAGGCTGGCTGCTGGAGTCGGCTCAAGCAGAGGCCGATGGACTCTGCGAAGAGATCAGGCCCGGTGAGGGCTCTTGCAGTTCTGCAGGTTCGGGATTTAGGGTTTAGGGTTTAGGGTTTAGGGTTTGGGGTTTAGGGTTTAGGGTTAGGGTTTAGGGTTTAGGGCATAGAAATCTTCTGGCAGTCCTGTAGGTTGAGGGCTTGGGGGGTTTGTAATCCTAGGCATATGCAGATCTAGTTCTGTAGGTCCAGGGTATGTGGAGTTTGGGTTTAAGGCTTCAGGAAAGTTGGGGATGTTCGCAAGGCTAAGTTTACGGGGTTGGTGGTTGGTTTGGGTTTAGGACGCCGCAGTCTATCGGCCTTGCTACCGCTGAAGAGATCCTAAACTGGTGGCGCCCTTCGCTCCTGAGTTTCAGGGCCTTTTAGATTTAGTTATGCGCCACATCAAGCAATCAAAAAGGGTTGAGCGTTTAGGGTTTACCTCTAACAGAGCCCTAAACCCCCAAAAAAGCCCTTCAGGAGCCCTAAAGACCTAAATCGCATGCTGCAAGACACCACAGAGGGGGCACCTGGGAACCGCCCCGAGGCGTCTGGCGCGCGTGCGGGCCCCGGACCTGAAGTGGCGTCTCTGTGTTTATTATTGCTATTCTTGTTGCTGTTGCTATTCAATTTCCTACTATTATTCTTGCTTTTACTATTATTGTTGCTAGTCATACTGCCATTACTCTTACTAATGCTAATATTGCCACGTGTGCTTTTACATCATGAGTACCATCATGTTCATTGCCGCGACTGCTTGTGTTTTTGTATTTCTATGATGGCCCTTTTTTCGTGGAGGCATCCTTTCTGTCTCACCCTGTGATTTTGCATTTTGCACAGGTCGAGTAGGAAGTTGGATACTCAGGGCAAAAACGAGCGTGGGCTGAGCACATGGGCGTAGTGGTAGGCCTGAAGCGCAAGGGCCTGGCTCTTACTTGCGCGAGATGATGCCCACCGACCACATGGTTCATATCGTTGTCCCTAATGTTGACTTCGCATTAATAAACCCCCCCCCCCCCTTCATTGATCAATCTCTCCGGCCAGGGCCTCCTCAATAATGTTCGCCTAAATCCTGGTAGGACGTACTATTAGTTTTAGTATTAGGTAGTAGCACCAAGCCCGTAAAAACCGGATTTCCCGGGTCGGATTTTACAATTGTGGCGGGCTACACTATTGTGTTCCGGCAGCGGGATTTTACAATTGCGGCGGGAATCACTAATGTGAAGTCAACATTAAGCCCTAAACCCTAAAGCCTAAACCCCCTAAACCCTAAACCTTATAACCCTAAACCCTACACCCTAAACCCTAAACTCGTAGGAGTGCTTGTTGAGAAAGCATGTGGCCCGGCAATTTCAGGTCAGCGTGACCGCAGCAGATGCGGGAGGAGGTGGAAGGACCTCATTGGCTCAGCTCGGATATTGCCACCGTGTTCTGGGTTCGTGGCAGAGATGACGCAAGTTTATGCTTCTTGCGCTTGCGGTTAGCCGATAGAAACCTGCTCCACATCCACGAGCTGCTGGCAAGATGGCTGCTTGCAAAGCTAGCTGACTCTTGCCACGTGGTTAATCATCTCATGAGGCCCGTTCAGGGGTTAACCTTCTGCATAGCGAGGTCGGAGAAACTGGCATGAATCCGTGGAGCGGAGATCTTTGACGCTTCATTGCACGACTTCAACTCACAGAAGACTGAGCAGCCACACCGACAGCCAACATCTTTCTGAGTGCTACCTCAGTTCTTAAATCCCCCTAGCTCATGAAGCCCACAAACCCTTAACCGCCTTAACCCCAAGCTTCCATACCACAACAGCCGAGATAATTTCCAATTCTATCTCGCTATATCACCTGGATAGTTGCAATACAATGTACCTTCGAATGCTCATGAAGATCCCATAGGGCCCTCTACTACCTGATAGTCCAGTGCCCCGCAGGACCTCTCCCGAAGACGAGCAGGGGCAATTTAATCAGGTGACCAGGGGCCTAGGGCTTTTCTGGATGAAGCCAGAGTTGCTTGAGTGGTGATCTCCGTGTACTGAGACATGCAAGGAGCAGGGAAATGTATCAGCAAGCAACTGCGCATGTTTATCGGTAGCACCCTAAACCCACAACGCCTACAAGCCCTGAACCCAAACGCCCCTACAGCGGCCAACATCCTCACTTGGCAGGCGCATCACATCTACCGTGTCGTAGAAGAGGAGCCTGGCTCCTGGGGCGGAGGGAGGGGGTAATGTAAAAGTAGCTTACCTGTAACCTTGATGTGTGTTTAGTTGTGTGTATATCTATATTCATGTATATATATATGTATCACTTATAGACTTATGATCTTGCCCGTGTTGTTTGTTAGTCAATGAGTTTGGGCGACAGACCCTCCGGGCGTGGGAGGGATTTGGAAATGTGGAAAGTGGCGGCCGGGCCTTATAGGGTTTTGCGGACAAATTGAGGTCCATGCTGTTTTGGACTCCCTGAGCTCTAAACCCTCCATCCCTCGGCCCAGACTGTCAGAGAATCTGACATCAGAAATCGGGACTCTTGCAACGGTGACGCAGGTAAGTTTTGTGTCGAATGCGAGCGGGCGCTCCTGGATGACTGCGGGAACACCTGCAAAACTATCCGTAGACACGATCCTGGCAAATGCTAGTAGTACGGTTCTGACATATTCCAAGTGTTGTTCATTCGTGTTTGAGTGGTTTAATGGCATATTGTTAGTGACACTAGCGATCACACGCCAGGCGGGGCACAGTATGAACGCAAGTTGCCCGCACTAGCCCAGCCCCCCACCAGGAGTGCAAGCTTGAACCTTCCACCTCCCACATCGTTCCGCCTTGGGTCGTCAACGTATCTGCTGCGAAGTCTCGAGCATCTTCACTGGATTGCTGAGGCTTGTCCGGCTGCGGCAGCAGCATGAGGAGTGGCTTCCTGAAGCATCCCATGTATTTCACATCCTCACCAAAGAAACCCAAAGCCTTAAGTCAGAAACCAAACCCTGAGCCTCCGAATTCGAAGCTGGGCTTATCGTGCTTTCATCGCACACACGGCTGCAGCAGTGAGATCTCTAGGCACCACGTCTTAACATGTCAGGGCATAGAGTCGGTATACCGCCTTCGTTCAACGGTCTTGGACCTTATTCGATCAAGCAACGTCGGCAGTGGTCCTGCTTGCATGCTTGTCTTGACACAACAGTTATCAAAGCTCAAGTTGCAGTATGAAATGATGGAGTCATGCAGAAAGCCCTGCAACATCTTGATTCGTTCGTGCCTGTAGCCTGAGACTGAGATCTTGCACCTAAACCGCACGCCCTAATCTTGCATCTCTCCCTTTTACAAACCCCTTAAAGCCTAATTCAACCAAAAACGCCCCAAGCTGCGCAGGAGTATCTGGAGCAACGTGAGCAGGAGCAGCAGGAGGGGTTTAGGGTTTAGGGTTTAGGGTTTAGGGTTTAGGGTTTAGGGTTTAGGGTTTAGGGTTTAAGGGGCGGAGAGAGACTGATTCAGGGTTTGTTGGCCTTGGGGCTGAAGGTAGGGTTGGGGTCTGAAGGGATTGGGGTGCCTCAGGGCTTCCATCGGTTTGAGGAATCTGGTACGAGTTTAGGGTTTAGGGTTTAGGGTTTAGGGTTTAGGGTTTAGGGTTTAGGGTTTAAGAGATTTCGGATTTCGGGTTAAGGGTTCTGTAGTTCACAACTCCGCTGGCATCGGGGGAGCTATTCTTGCTCTCTGAGTTTGAGTTTGCCGACTCAAGCCCCGTAAGGTCCCAGGATGTCCAAGGGTAGTTACCCTAAACTTGGGAGGTTTAGGGTTTAGGGTTTAGGCTTTGGGGTTTAGGGTTTAGGGTTTAGGGGCTTAGGGCTGTTCCCCCTTGTACGAACAGTCCTTAGTAATGTTGAACTTCGCATTAATAAACCCCCCCCCCCCCCCCCCCCCCCCCCCCCCTTGATTGATCAATCTCTCTGGCCAGGGCCTCCTTAATTATATTCGCCTAAATCCTGGTAGGAAGTACTATTAGTTTTAGTTTCAACCTGCAACGTCGCCCCCTAAATCCGGGGCTTGATTTTATAATTGTGGCGGGTTTCAATATTGTGTTCCGGACCCGGGATTTTATAATTGTAGCGGGAATCACTAATGTGAAGTCAACATTAGGGATTATCGTATCCCCCTATACTAATCCCTGCTCAGGAGTGCTACTGTAAGGGGGAACATCCCAACCCTCAACCCTAGAGCCCAGCACGCGACTGCACAAAGAGCACCCCCCAGGATGCCGAACCGAGAACAAGACCTCGACTTTGACAGAATAGCACATGGGCAGCCAGAAATCCTCTCAAACCTAAGAAGTCCTTTGCAGCCCCTTAAAGCCTTTCAAAGCCCCTTTGAGCCCATTAAAGACCCCAGAAGCCCTTAAAAGCCTGAAAGCCTGAAAGCCCTTGAAACCTGTTAAGCACCTGAAGCCCCAGAAGCCCGAAACCTCGAAGAACAATAAACCTTTGGACCTCTACTATGTATCAAATGGGCACCCCACGGGACGCGAGCCAACTGGTTGGTGCCAGGTTTTGAAGTTTAGGATTTGCCGGGTTTGCAGGGTTTAGGGTTTAGGGCCTAGGGTTCAGGGTTTAACGTTTAGGGTTCATCCAGCCTGAGAGGCTGCCATATTAGAGCAGCGCGATGCCCTGAGAGCCGCGCAACAGCGCCCACGTCTCAGAGTTCGAAGTGTGCTTCGTCTTTGCGTGTGTAAAACACAGCGAGCGCTAGACAGATTGTTTTTGATGTTTTGTTAAAGCAGAGCCTTGAACGGCTCGAAGTGGAAAATGGGTGTGGCCTGGCCAGAGAATGACGTACCTGGTTTGATCCCATCCTATTTGCAGTCGTGTCCCTGGAACTGTTCAGATGTGAAGAATGAGTCGTTGTTGCAGCTGTACAGATATATTGAAGAAGCCATGACTATCCCTGTACACATGAAATGTTCTCTTTTCAGACATCAGCCGCGTGTTTTTGTTCATCCTACCATTGAGGCCTTTTGTCCAAGCCCGAATCGGTTGGGTCTATGGGTTTAGAGGTTTAGAGCGAAGGCCTTCCCCACAACAAGAGCCCCCTCTCCTTCCTCCCCATCCCCCCCCGATGGGTAGTGGTTGGGTTTGCGGTCTCAAGTTAAGGGTTCTAGGTGGGACGCCTACCCCAACCGTCCCCCCCCCCCATGTGGGTGGTGGTTGGGGTTAGGGTTTGGTGTCGGGATTTTGGGCTTTTTTGGGATGCTTGGTGCGGGATGAGGGGGGCCAAATCCTGCGAACCCGCCCCCGCCAGCTCGAGAAGTGCCCAGATCGCCCCAGGCTTGCGAACAGCGCAGGAGCTGGGTGAGGCTGAGGGCAAGGCCGGCTTGTGAAGCTTCTGGGGGCTTCGGCGCACTGGTTTCTATTTATCGAAAAGCCTAAAAACACCCTATAACTCGCCATTTTAACATTCCCAGCAAGGTTTTAAGGGAGGCCACATGAAGCCAACCGGCTGCCAGGCATGTTTGGTTCGGGGGACAATGCAACACGGAGTAGCGACATCTGGGATGGGTTTGCTTGTAAGGGTTTCGGGGCTTGCGGCGATATTCTTTCGCAACAATAACATGGGCTGAGGCGATATTCTGAAGAAAGGGCCGAGGACTCACGTCCCCTTCTATCTTTCCACTTTTACTACTCGTCCGTACCAAGACATTTTTTTCTCATTCGCGAGTAAATCGTATTTTTAGGGCTGGTTCATGCGGCTTCGGCCGGTAGCCCAGAATGCGAGCAGGCTCGGGCGGAGGCGGAACGCGCCAAGCTGTCGGCAGAGGAGTCCTTAGGCCCCCTGTGGACCAAGAGTTCGAAAGTTCTGCAGAAGTTTGTGATCAAAACAGAGCCCCGCACCCTGAAGCCCAAGACCCCGCCCTATAAGCCCTAAAGCCCAAGCCCTATAACCCCAAAACCCCTTCGCAACCCGAAAGCCCGATGAACCCCCTAAAGCTCTAAACCCCCAACGCACCCCCCCCCCCCCCTAAAGAAAACACAAAAGCCTTCAGATAAAAACCCTTTGAAGCCCTTGAACCCAGGCTTGCGATTCGCAGGTGTCTTGCGGCCTTTTGGGCCTGTGCTTTTTGGGCTTTTTGGTGTTTATTAGGGGGTTCAGGGTTTAGGAAACCCTGAACCCTAAAAAGGTCCTAAGGTCCTGAAATCACTGCGCTAGGCCGGCTGGGGTTGGAGGTCGTCCGCCTGCGCGAGCGCGAGGCGGAGCCTCTTGTTGAGTGCATGGCTGTTTTCCTGCACCTGTTCAGGCCTTCTCAGCTTCGTGGTAGGCCCTTGGGACATGTTATATGTTCCCTTATTGGGTTCAAGAGGATCATAATCAGGAATATGTTTCAGAGAGTTTCAAGGGCCATCCTAGGCTTGTTGTCAAGCTTTGTGGAACTTTAGGGTTTCAGGGTGTGGGGCTTTAGGACTTTAGGGCTTTGAGGCGTTGAACCAGGCACGAACAGAAAGACAGGCTGACAGACTGTGCTCTGCTGCTGGCTGCAAGCTGGGGTTTAGGGTTTAGGGTTTAGGGTTTAGGGTTTAGGGTTTAGGGTTTAGGGTTTAGGGTTTAGGGTTTAGGGTTTAGGAAGTTTAGGGTTTATAGGGTTTAGGGTTTAGGGTTCCTATTTGCCGGCCCAAAGCCTCCACGTGAATCGTCATCTCCGGGTCAACTTTTGTTTTCGCGCGATGCGGCGATGCTCACAAACTTCGTGCTCCACAAATCCTTGCCTGCACAGCGCACCTGCCCTCTGAAGACGAAGTGCTTCTTTTCGAGGGGCCAGCAGGCGAGTTCAAACGCGACAGCGGCTTCGAATTTGAAGCGTACCAGGCACGTTCCCATGAGTCTTCGACGTGTGGCAGGCTGTGCTGCTGGAGGAACTGGCCACAGCCCCAGCAGCGCAGTTTCTTGTTCCATCAGGCTTGGGAGAGTGCGAACACGAGATCGGTACACGAGCATGCGCCAGCAGACAAGCTTGCACACTCAGGTGGGATTTCAACTAGGAGTAAACCCCCTAAACCCTAAACCCCAAACCTTCAATGGCCGAACCTGAAGTGAGAAAAGCCTGCAGAGGCATTAACCTGGCTGGTGAGACACACCGCCTCTCTCTCTCTCTCTGACACATGCTTGCCGACAGTCAAGGAACATGTTGGGAGTCTTTCGGAAAGTGTTAGTAAAGTGTTGATAAAGAAAGCCAAAGATATTTCTATTCGAGTACAGTAGGAGTCTTCGCGTTTTCTCCGAGATGATCCACGATGGATCATTTCGCGCGATTGTTTCTCTTGCCGAGCTTACTGTTTGAAGGACTCCCTTCCCGTGTCACGCATTATCTTGGTTTTGTAGTTATTCCGTGGGCAATTGGCGTTGCCACAGGAGACCCGCCAACACAAATAGACATTTGCCTCAGGAAAACACTTCATTGAGAACAATCCTTTTGCAGAAAAAGCATATACTCCAGCCGTCCCAATGATTCGGAATACTTAAAGTCCATAAGTAAATACATTCAGCAAGCCTGTTTCGTCCGACAAAACTGATGTACATTGGACATCTCCTTCGGGGGGCCACTTTGATTAACATTTGCCTCACCCTAAACCTTAAACTCCCAAAGCCCTAAACCATGGGCGCGCAACACAAAAACGTTAAAGCCTCCCAACGACTATCTTGATCTCCTTCGGCCCACCACCGTGACATCGGAAAGCAAAAACAACCACAAAATAGCTCCTGAAGCATCAGAAGCCATAAGTCTCCAAGTCCGAACTCTTCCTCGATGTTCCCTCACGTGTTCTGGCTCTGGTTTCGGGAATTTACAGTTATGCTTTTGCTTTGACCAGAAAAACTAAACTCCTTGCACAGACGAGGCGAGGCGGTTTTGCACTGCAAATGGCCCACTCTCGTAACAATATCAAAGATACTTTTAGATACTTTTTTGCTTAGGGTTCAGGGTTTAGGGTTTAGGGTTCAGGGTTCAAAAGACCGTTGCAAAACCTTCGCTTCAAAGAAGATGTCCAGCTTTATAGTGCATGTTCCCTCAGTCCATGCACGTTCCTCTCAAACATAAGGGGCTTTGGAGGAGTTGAGCTCTTGCCAATCCCCGTTTCTCTTCAGGTTTTCAGTGCTTGCCGGTCGAAATCTTGCCTTAGAGCTTCCTAACCCCTGTTCGGGAGGATTCAGATGTTAAATTCACACAGCCTTGTTTCAAGGCTAGTTAAATTAAGGGGACAGCTTTTTTTAGATGTTTACTAAACCCTAAACCCTAAACCCTGAACCCTAAACTCATTTACACCGGGACCCCAGCTCTTTTTGTCGGGCAGATCAGCCGCGATTTTCCTTGATGCATTCTGATCCCCATCTCCTTTCAGGATTGCTGGCTTCCTGTTCTCCTATCTCCTACCTCTTTCCAAGCGCTTCCTGCAGACTGCAAAACCCTACAAATTTGGGTTTAGGGTTTAGGGTTACAACGCCTTGATTGCTGGGCATAAGCCCCCCCGGACTGGAGACGCGAAATGCTGGTAGGCAAAGTTTGGTAAGCCAGGTAAGCCATCGAAGCCTCCTGGACCCTTAAACATCCCAACCCCCAAAGCCCTAAACCTCCAAAGCCCTATACCCAGTAAACCCCAAAGCCCTAAAGCCTCCAAAGGATTTCCAGCTCATGTCAAAGCCACAGCGCATAGAGGGCCTGGTTCCAGTTGGCTTCTGTAATCAAAAAGCGAATCCCCAAGGTTGGTTCCTGCTTGATGTAGGCCCCCCCCACCCTGCCCTTGTGGGCTCAGTCGAGATTCGGTGTTTGGGGCTTGGGGTTGGGGCATACTTTACATCGCCATCTTGGCAGGTTTTGCATGGCCTGGAAGAAGTGTGGGCGTCCGTGGCACTACCCGGTAGAGCGAATAAGGGCGGGAGCGTTTGTTCACCGAGGGGTCTCGCCGATATTAGGTAGGATGCCGCAGCGTGCTGCTGCAAAATTCACAATCTATGATTGGAGGAGTTTTTCAGACACGTTGCCCGGCAGTTGCAATTCATCAGTGGACCCAAAGTCTGAGAATAAAAACAAATTGCCCGCCTTCGCGTTGAACCACGCAGCAGTTTCTTGGCATAAGTGGGCACGACGGCTACTTTATGGTGGTCACCGGACATGTGGTCTGCAAGCTAGGAGCAAGTGACAGCGAGTGCCTGATTCCAAGTAGGCTGGCGCGATCCTCCGGGAGTGATCTGCAGAAGAGTGGAATAGATCTATGCCTGACATGCCCATCTTTGATGCTTGCAGGTTTGTGCACTGTGCCCTTACAAGTCATGATCGTCCGAGCGTCGTTCGTTCAGTTCTGACAGCTCCAGAGTCCTGCGTCAGGCAGCTTTTCTGTGGAGACAGCTAAGCGCAGTGCCGAACACGATGTAACTAGGTCGTGCCGCTGCTTGGGCTTGTGACTTGTGACTTTGCTCAGCGTTGCATTTGCTCGAATGTACCATCAGCTTCCGTTCTCATGTTCGACCAGCTGCTGCGGCGAGCTTGGACATGACATGACATGACCTTATTTCCAGCAGCACATTGCGCGCCGAGTCCGCTCGCCGCAGCGACGAGGGCCAGCGGATCAAGCAGAACGAGGCACCGTGCACATGCGCCTTGTTTGAGCTCGGCCACGATTGTGTTGCTCAGCTGGCTATGCAGATGCAACGGGTGTTGTTGATGTATGTTGTTGCTGTCACGACAGTTGTGCTGGTTGCTGCTGATACTGCTGTTGTTGCGATTGGTGCTTTTGCCAATGTCGAGGCCTTCACCCTCTCTTAACGTTTGCTTGCTAGGCTAGTCTTGTACTGAAGCCGCTTGAGTGGGACGCGTTAGTGCTACTTCATCAAATTGACACGTGTCACCAATCATTTTGACATATTTTGACTAGTGCACCTCCTTTTCTTGTATCATAGGAAATTAGGCAGAAAGTGTAACGATGCCCAATTTTGTCTTGGGGCACCCTGAATTCCCTTCAGCTCTGGGATCGCCTGCGAGTTCCGGAACTTGGGACTGTGCCGAAGCGCTGGACATGTTCTCGAAAGCGAAATTGAAATCAACAGCTTTTGCGTCCACAGCCACAACTCCCAAGACAAGCCGTTAACTAGTTGCAACACAGGTGGCTACAATTCAAGCAGGACTATTCTGGTTGCAGTGGCTGGCAAAATGTAAGTTTGGCATGAGTTCGAACCGAGCCCGTGAGCATGTCATTATGAACAGGAGAGTGTTGACAACTCCCAAGAGACCACATGCGCAGTTATGGCGCCCACTGCTTAAGTTGAACGCATGTGGTATTTGACCTAGTTGATTCAAGCATTTCTGCGGGAAAGGAAATCAAATCCCTTCGCACTTCGCTGGCTGCTGAGCGTCGGCGCCGTGAAGACGCCGAGGCACCCGAAGGAGTTTGTTCGTGCTGCGCAACACATTCCTTTAGTTGGTAGTCTGGTTGGTTTGGCAATTGTACATATTTGCAATGTATCTACTATGTTTTGATTGTTGAGCTTGGGTGCAGATTGGCAGCCCATCATGCCCCCCAACGGATCAATTTCAGCAACGCTTGGCGGATGCCTCTGCGATAAACACATCAGCACGCTTTTGAGTTTGGATTGGAATCGCTCGGGAAAACACTAGACGACTTATTTTGAGCATGTACTGTAGCCGCACAATTTACATTTAGCATAGCCTTTGTTTTGCGACTATTTCAGTATCTTGTAGAAACGCGTGGTTTCAGGGCTTGACTTTCGAGTCGACGTACTTCATCGGAGGCTCTCGTCAATATTACTCCTGAAGCCGAGACAGGTTGCGAGTGATAGTTTTGCATTCGGACCAGCTAGCAGCTACGACAACATTGGCTTAAACCTTGGGGGTTTTGGCAGCTATGTCTTGCAGGCCATAAGCCGAGAGCGCTTCGAGGAAATCAGGCCAGCCATGCTTTCGTTTTGCTGGTTCATGTCGATAAGAGGCGTTGAGAGGCTTCGGTTCTTATGTGTACTCAGGGCATATATCAGCGAGCTTATCTAAGGACGCAGAGCGCGACTGTTTCCTTCGGTCTCCTCAACAATCGGTGGTCGCAGTTTTGCAACCGCAAGCCTTCACTTTCACCCAAAATTCGGGAACACCTTCAGCCCCATACCCTAAGCCTGACACCCATCGAAAACCCAGCAGCAACTCATATCGTATCGAAAACTAGCACCCACACCAATCAACTGTAGTTTTTTGTCAGGGGATGTACATGTTCACCTCGTGGAAAGTTAGTTCCATCCACTCCCCGATTGCGTGCGCATATTTACATGTGCCAGAAACCTTTGTGATGTGTGACAGACTTGTTCTGCCAAGCTCGTAGCACACCCTGTGCTATACATCTTCGGAAGATGTTAAGTTCTGTTAAACCTTCCACCTACACCCCAAACCCTAAAAGCCCGCCATCTTGTTGGCTGGACGTGAGGCAGGCCGCTCGCACTCGGAAAGAGGCGGAAGAGTTGGCGGAAGAGTCCCGGCGACCCAGCAGCGATTTACGGGGGATCACGGCAAGTCACGCACGGCGTTGCACCCACTCAAGAATGATATGCAGACGTGCAGTATGCACTTCTTTCCAATTCGGAAGAGCCATGTGGAACATGAATTCAGTTAAGTGGGTGTGGCGAAAGTACTGCCATCTCGGTGCCTTTGGGCTCCAGTTTGGGGATGCAAAGAGTCCCGGCTAGGGAAGCCCACATTGAGTTGATTGAGCCTGACCCTGGCAGACTCGGAGCTTCCAAAATTTAAAGAGGTATCCGAGTAACGTTAGATTGCTTACAGGTTTTACGCCCTAAGCCCTAAACCTAAAGTCAGGGTTTAGAGGTTTGAGCATGTATGAGAAGTCCAAGAGACCACTAGGTTTATGGAGGCTGCATGCGAACCTCTTCGCACTCTTGTCGAAGTTTTTGCCCATAAACAAGTGACCCACAAACCCTAAGCCCCAAGAGTTTTCAACCCAACAGCCCTTTCAACCGAAGTCGTCCTCAGGCAGCACAGCCAAGAGCGCTGGAGGAAACAGAGGTCCAAGTTGCGCGCCTTTCGTGAGACTTTGCTCCGTGAAGCCGGGGTTGTCTTCGCCGAATCCAAGGCCCTTGTCACCTTGTAATTCGATATTTACATATATACCATCTTACCCTCCTTAGAAGAAAGATGAAGGAGCAGCTTCAACCCTGAACCCTCAAGCCTAAACCCTTCCTAGGTTGCCTATGATACCTTCTTGAGTGCTTGGTCTCTTTTTGCCTTCGTGCCAGGTCGCTGGAGCGCGAAAACCGACAGCTCCGGGAGCCTGGCTTTGGGTTTAGGGCCTAGGGCTTAGGGCTTAGGGCTTAGGGCTTAGGGCTTAGGGCTTAGGGCTTAAGGTTGATTGGGGGGTTTAGGGTTTCGGGTTTCGGGCTTTTGCGGAAATTCGGAGGGCAGGAGCCGGAGGTTTCCAGTTTTTTTTTGCTTTCCTTCCCAGGGCTTTCGCGAAGCAAGTCCTTAGGGTTTGCACAAGTTTCAGGGGTTACGGGTTTCCACTGGGTCTGGCCGCTGGAGTCGTGTCTTGATGTGTCCAGAGAGCCTGTATCCAAAGTTGCTGAATTAGGCCGCATCCAGCATGAGCATCGAACCGAGTATATATGCACGCACACATATAGATAGACTTTAGTTATATCTTTATATACATATACATATACATACATATTATATACTGGTTCATTTGTTTGCTATATTGTTTGTTTGTTCATTTATTTCTATAGACGCGTCAACAAACATGTATGGTGAAGCGTCGCTGCCGTCAGGAGCGCCTCCAGACGTTGCAAGAAGCTAGCATCGAGCTCAATAGCGGCAGCCCTGGAATAGTTGTGGGAAATGGGGTTTGCCCAAACACACGACAGACAGCGCACACCAACAAAAAACAAAACTGTGCGCACTTGATTGCGTGTGCAGGGAATGTACAGAATCCTTCCTCATATCCTTTCGACCAGGTCATGCCGATACTGTCTGTCGCCATCCTAAAGTGTAAGTGATTGATTGTTGGCGACGGTAGAGCGCAAGGCCGTCATTGCGATGGAGGGCAGATTTCCCCCCTAAACCCTAACCCTAAACCCCCTAAACCCCCTAAACCCCCTAAACCCCCTAAACCCCCTAAACCCCCCAAACCCCCTAAACCCTAAACCGCAAACCAAGCCTGCAACAAGGTGTACGCATGGAGATCGAGGAAGCGCACGAAGACAGCAAGGAGCCCGGCCTTCGACCAGGGTTTAGGGTTTAGGGTTTAGGGTTTAGGGTTTAGGGTTTAGGGTTTAGGGTTCAGGGTTTAGGGTTTAGGGTTTGGGGTTAAGGGCTCCCATCGAAATCGTCCCTCCCCATGCTCGAGCTCTAGAGCAGCCCCTAGCCACAGGTTGAACTGTAAGCATGTTGGGTTTCCTGACATCGTGCAGTTCTCACAATGTTGAACCTTGATTGGCACTGTTTGTTGGAGAAAGAAGTTAGGCTTTGAAGGGTTCTTGAGTATGAGTATGCTCGGATGTTCGACCATTAGCGAGTTGGGATCCTGAGGGGAGCGGGCGGGTACAGCAGCCCTTGGTGACAGTTTGGAGGATTCAGGCTGGCGCCCAGGACAACAGTAGGAGCTCGAAGGATAGATGCACCTATGAGCTTCGTGTGCAGCATCAGAAACTGAGAACGCCAACAGCAAGCATGCAAAATGCAAAGTTGTTGCACTCGGACTAGCTTCACTGCTGGCGAACAGCAACATCTAAGAAACATTCTGCTCTGGAGAAGCCTATGTATTCTGCATCAGGCTGGCATTTGACCCTGCAAAAGCCCCCGTGTGCAGCCTGTGCGATGCAGCTTGGGCGTCAGCTTTGGCGCGCTGTGCCAAGCTGCTTGGCCTTTGCAGCCAGATCATCTCTTAGGATGTCTACCTTTGCATACCTGCTTTCAGGCAGCGAGTTGTGTTGGCTTCTTTGTAGCAAGATGTATAGGGCCTCTCTTCTATTGCACCATGCTTGGTTGATGGCCGGTGTATTCGCACTTCAGAAGCCGAGGGTTTGCAGCCGCAGGAGCTGTCTGAGCCATTAGACCACCGTCGCTGTTGCAGCTGTATTCTCACGATTGGCAACGAGCGCAAATGAGACCACCAGTACGTGGGGTTCTCAAAACCTAAACCATGGACCTGCTTGGGGTGCTGCAGATATTTAAGGGTCCACGTTTCAACAGGAACCCCCATCGTTTAGGGAACGGACCACACCAAACTGCAGCCGCAGCAACTGCCCTCAAGTCCCAAGACCAAGGTGGCGTGCAGGGTTTGTCAGCAGCTGTGCGCAAGACTCCCTGGCGACTAAGCCGCGGCCATCGTGAGGCACATGTCGAACGTTTGGGCGAATGGGTTTGAGTCTAGGGTTCAGGGCTTTGCGGTTTTTAAGATTTGAGCCGTTGGTTTTTATGGATTGTCAAACCTTCAATGACTGTGGAGCCGTGATGGCCTATTGTTTGGTGGCATCTAGGAGGGGTCGGAATAATTACTAATCGTATTTTCTTAGGGTCCTTTTATACATATACTAGACCCCCCCCCACCCCCCCCGAAACCCTATTCCAATTATTACGGCCCGTAGAGTAGTGCGGTGCCGCAGGTTATGGCGATTGCGGGTCGCAAATTTGGGCCCTTCTGATGGTTTGGATGTATAGGCATCTTAAAGATGATGGAGCTTCCGAAATTCTCTACAAGGAATGTCCACCCTTTCAACAAAAGCAATCGTAGCCATGTAGAGTAGCATGTGTTCTAACTCAGGGGTTCGCGGAAAGCCCGATATGAAAAAAGAAGCCCTCTCAATCCTGAAGCTACACTTTTTCTTCTTCAAGCATGTAATTCACCCCTCCCCCCCCCCTCCCCCCAGTCATCAATCCAGAATACCGAGCATGTCCGAAGAAGAACCGAGCACGAAAGGCCCTGCAGGACCAGCTGAAGCTGTCCACCGAAGCCGGATCGCAACCAGGATGTTTTGTTCTGCTCTGCTGCAGGTACCTTCCTAGGTAGGAGAGCAGTGATATACTTCTTAAAGAGCCTCGCAGACGACCACTTCGAGTTGCAGGACGCCTTAGAACCCTTTACCTGCACCCTGGGCTACCTTTGCTTCTGGTAATGAGTTTTGTAAGGGTTCGCATAAAAGAGGAAATTAGGTATCCGAAGAAAACGACCTACAATTATGTGTCCAGGTAAGCCCCCTGTGCCCTCAAGCTTTGTGATTGAGACCCAGGAGCAATTGCTCGAGTCTCTGGCGGCACGACTGGGAGGCAATCTGTTGGGCAATTTAGGACACGCGCAGAGAGTCCCAGAACCGCAGCAGTCGATCAACGCGGACGCAACATACTCTGCGAGGCAGCTTCCCGGTGGCTGTCGGACTCATGCGCAACGGCGACGTTCTCTTAGGTCCCGCAGTGGGAAAGGGTTCGGGGTTGGCGGTCATGGGGAGTGGAAAGGGTTGTTCCCTTTCTGGGAGGGGGGTGGGTGGCCTTGCTGATGCAGTCAACTCAATCCGAGCATGAAACCCGAAGTCCTCAGCTTTGGGTGCACATAGCTGGGCTTCTACCGGGAGTTGTCCCAAAATCTTGTGGTGAGTGCCCTGGTTCTGTAGAGAAAGAGCTGAAGCATCCGATGTTGATGTCTTCGGCTGCCCAATCTGCCCGAAGGCCCGGCTCTTGACCTGGCGCAGCAGCGGATGAGCGCTGTGCAGGCCAGCCCGGTTCAACATGAGAATCATGACAACAACGGTAGTGATGACAACGGAAATGTGGGTAAGAGTGGCAATATAATGATCATAATGAGAACCTCAGTACGTCTGCTGTGTGTGTTACGAAGCAGGTCCTGGTTGCCAACGCCCTCCTACGTGGCGAAGTGCCTGGCCCCGCAGGAAAGGCTTTACGGTCTTTGTTTCAGATGCCTGAACCCTAAACCGCAAAGGAGCTCACCACTGCTGAGCCTGGAGTTGCGTGCATGTATTCCCATGGGTCCCATGGTCAAGCGTGATGTTTCTAGTTGGGTTGTCGGCGGTCATCCATTGAAAGGAAATGTGGTGGGTCCATACTATACTTGTTACTCTCCAGGGGAGGGGGGGCTGACCCAAGGTTTCAGTGTTTTCAAAGATAGCGCAGACCGCTGTACATGCAGAACACTACAACGAAAGCTACCTGAAACCCTTGAAGACCATCACCCGAACCTCCTACCCCTGAACCAAGATGCTCAAGTCCCAAAGTCCCGAAGTCCGCACCAGGGCGAGCTTCCCATGCCAACCCCAAACCCTACCCCCTGAACCCCAAACCCGAAACCCTAAACCCTAAACCCTAAACCCTAAACCCCAAACCCCAAACCCCAAACCCCAAACCCCAAACCCCCAAACCCTGAGCAACGAAAGCGCAGCAAGGCCTTCGAGGCCTTGGGCTGCCGTGAGAAGCCCCGAGGTGGTTCTGTGGACCTGCTCCCCGGCTGCACTCTTTCAAGTGAGGGGGAGGGCTAGTGTAATTAGGGGTTTAGGTCTTGAGGTTTGGGGTTTGCAGTTGGGACTTGGGATTTGGGGTTTGGGGTTGCGCGGGGGGGGGGGGAGGGGGGGGGGGGGGGAGGGGGGGGAGGGGGGGGAGGGGGAGGGGGGGGAGGGGGAGGGGGGGGAGGGGGAGGGGGGGGAGGGGGAGAGGGGGGGGAGGGGGAGGGGGGAGGGGGAGGGGCACCTTGCTGGGGGTTCCGACAATAAGTCAATAAGGATGAGGTCGCATTGTTTGGGTACATTAAGGGGTACCTCTGTTTTGGGCAATGCCCACGGTGCAAACTGTGATGTTGCTGTGGTTATATGTCATTGTGTTGCTACGGCCACTGCTAGCACGTGTTGCTTCGGCATTGTCATTGGTATCGTTATTGCCAGATTGATTGTCATTGGTATCGCTATTTGTCAGATTGACATCATTGTCATGTTCCATCATTGATGTCGTTAATGAGGTGTTATGATGATTGTCCTTATTCTGGTCATCGCTGTCCTCGCCATCTCATTCGTACTAGCATCAGTTTCAATGTGCGATATGAGCATTAAGATCAGTAGCACCGTTTTGTTGGTGAATCATTGTCCTCGTTATGTTTATCATGTTTATCCGTATTTGCAGTGCGATCGCAATTGCCAGCAATACCAGCACTCATTGTCATCTGTCTTGGCGTTCTTATCATCATTCTCAGCATCATCATTGTTCTCTGCATCACCTTTGTCATCATGGTCATCAGATTATCTTTATCATCGGTCTTGTCGCTTTCGCGTCACTGTTGATTGTGTTATTGCCATTATTTTTGTTTTGTGTTATTCTCACTGATATCAATAGTCTCATTATTTCATATTCCGTTCTTTCAGGGTCTGGAGGACGGGGTGTGGGCGGGGCATTCCGAGGCCTAGCTGCTTCTGATCATGGCGCGACACTTCTTATTCGAATGAACTGGCACAGATGCGATTGAGAAGGAGACCTCGCAGCCAACAAGTCCACGAGCATGTGTTAAGCAGAACACCCAGGACGAGGTTGCCAGCAAAGCAAAGTATGGTGCTAAACCTAGAACCCTCTCCCCCACACCTGAACCAACCCGTAGCCTTCTGCAGACAGGCTGCGGCAGCTGGAAAACTTCCAGGAGGTGAGGAGGGGCGCGGGACTTGTGGAGCCGTGGGGGCGGGGCGAAGGGGGGTTGGAGGGCGGGGTGGGGGGGGGGGGGGGGGGTTGGGGTTGGGGGAAGGCCCCAAGTTGATGTTTGGTTTGAGCGCTTCATCTGAGCTTCCTGTAAGTTGAGCACCGCACTCATCTCGGGCTTTGGCTGCACTTGCTCCGTATAAGTCAGCGGAATGCCATCCCATGCCACTCATGTCGAAACCCGAAGCCCTAAACTTTTGCTCGAAACTCCTTCTCTTACCTAAGCCGCAACTGCAATTAACTGAGGGGGGGGTTGATCCAAACGAAAAGCTCCTCTTGGGACCTTAGTAGCAAGGAGTCGGGTAAGGAGTAAACAACAGTTTGCATCGACACTCCAGAATACTAAGCCTTGCAAAAGACCTTCGGGGCCTGAGGTGAAATGGTTCGGAGGACCAGGCTGGCTCGCCCTCCGCTCTTGCTGCGTTGGCACGTGGGGCATCGACTGAAGAAGGATTGTGCGCGGCCGACCACAGCAGGGTTTAGCTAGCGGGCTTCGCCATGCTGAAGCGACTCTTTGAGGTCGCAGAGGTAGTATAACCGTATAACCTACGTAGTGCCGGGTGTACGATGGGTCGGTATACACCCCCCCCCCCCCCCCCCCCCCCCCGAAACACTAAGTAGCCAGCTGAATGATTTCAAAGTCAGCCCTCACCCTTTTGTGGTTTTTTAGGCTTAACGACTTCAACCTGCTGCCAGTTGGATAAACCCTGGCGACCCTCTTTTAAGAACCTCCACCCTCAAAGTCCAAACAGGACCCCACAATCCTCAACGCTCATGACGCCCGAACCCTTTGTAAACCCCTTGCACTGCAATCCCCTACTCTGATGTTGAAGACTCCGGGGGAGGGGACTCTTCCCAACCCTTTCACTGTAATCCGCTACCACTGATATCGAAGATTCCGGGGGAGTTACCCTAAACCCTAAACCCTAAAGCCCTAAACCCTAAACCCTAAACCCTAAACCCTAAACCCTAAACCCTAAACCCTAAACCCTAAACCCTAACGGGGAGTTGCAGCCCTTTGCTCAGATGAGCCGGGCTCCTTCGAGGGCCTCTTTGCTCAGCGCTGTGCCGCAGACACGCGCCTCGTGGATGTGATCGGTGCAGGTGGCGACTTCAGACGATTTTTTTGTTTTTTTGTTCTTTTTTTTGGGGGGGGGGGGGGGGGGTAGGGGTTTAGGGTTTAGGGTTTAGGATTTAGGGTTTAGGGTTGCAGGGTTTAGGGTTTAGGGGGGTTTAGGGAGGTTTAGGGGCCCAGGGGCTTAGGGCCTACGGCTGCGGCTGGCATTGATTGTGCCTTTGCCTCGACAGTCCTAAGGCCCTCACCCCCACAGGCCCGAAGCCCTCAGCTCCTCCTTTGTTCCTACCCCCCCCCCCCACCACCACCCCGAGAAAGAAACCAAGCGAGAACAACCAAGTAGGCAAACCCCAAACCCTGCAACCCTACAACCCTACAACCCTACAACCCTACAACCCTACAACCCTACAACCCTACAACCCTACAACCCTACAACCCTACAACCCTACAACCCTACAACCCTACAACCCTACAACCCTACAACCCTAAGCCCTAACTCATGTAAAGGGCCCTGAGCTCCGCAGGTCACGGCTGAACCGGCGGTGGTGGGCCGCCACCTGGATCGCTGCTCGCCCCCTTGACTTCTGGGCAGGCGACCAGGGTTGTTTAGGGTTTAGGGTTTAGGGTTTAGGGTTTTGGGCTTCAGGGGTTCGTGTGCTCGGTCTGAGGTAGGAGGGTGGTTGGATTGCGAGGTTCACGGTTTTGGGGGTATATTGGGGGCTGTGGGGTTGCATGTGACCCAACAGTCTAAGCAGCAAACAGCCCTAAACCATCTTAACCCCCATGGCTAAACCTGACTCGCAGGACCTAAACCTCGCTCAACCTGATGCGGATGTGGCGAGGGAGGCTCTCAACTGGGCCTACTGCTGCAACTATGGCTTCTTGGTGCCCAAGTTCAGTTTCAGGATGTATCGGGTTCGGTTTTTTTTCAGGAAAGTTGCCAGAAATCTATTATGAGTACTAGGACACCCTTCTCAAACCGCATCCGCATGCTACCAAGTAGATGAAGCGGCTGTAGGATTCAGGGTTGCAGGGCCGGGAGCAGCCAAGCATCCAGCCGACTCAGAGCTGCACCTCTGATGTTTACCGTTAAGTCTGTTTTGGGGTTGGGGAGTAAAGGGTTTATAAGGGGTGTTTACGAAAAAAGTGGACCCCTAAAATAGACCCCAAGTAGTAGGATTCCCTCATAGTAAGGAGCCCAACAAGGCACCCTGATTTCGGAAACCACCATATAGGGTTTAGCGCGTACGGAAGTATCCCTATCATAACTGAGTATAAGGGGGAACAAATCCCAAAGTAAAGGGTTCATATAGGGTTGAGGGTGTAGGGATAGCCCAGGTGAGGGTCTGGCTGCATGCGCCCTCCGCGCTCGCGGGGAAGTGTTTGCCGGGGCGAGCGTGGCGCTGCAGAACCCGGGCTTGCAGCGGAGGGCGGGGTGCAGTGGGATGGCAATAAGATTGATGGTAGTAAGATTAGGAAGTACTAAACACCTTACAGCAATATTGCAAGTAGGAGTAATGCCTAAAAAGCATGGACCCAGTTGGAAAAACAACCGGCACATAGATATGGGGGGTGGTTACGATATTATGGGTACCTTTTTGGAGTCGAGTCCTTAGTCTAACGGCATCCTACTATTTTGGGGTTTACTTTAGGGGTCCCCTATTGTTCGCAAACCCCCATATGCGAATTGCAAGCTTACCCCAAGGCCTTGTTGAAGTCACGGAATCACGGTCCACGGTATGGGGGCATTTTCTCTAAACAATGGTCCGTTTGGGCACTGTAGCTGAAAAAGGCCCGGTATGATTCGGAAATCCAGGATGGACCATCTTTTGGCCAACTGCCCATGTTGTATGACACAACCACATCATCCTTGCATGCGGCTGAGGATGGGTCCCATGCAGCCAGGACCGTCCCGACACCCTCTGAAAAATATCATCTAATGGATTGCGCTCTCTCTCTCTCTCTCTCTCTCTCCCTCCCTCCTTCCCTTTCCCTCTCACTTCTTAGGGTTAAGGCTTACGGGTTTAATTATGGCGTTTTAGGAGTCTGAGTTTAGAGTTTTCGGACTTGAGGAGGGTTTAGGTTCTATGATTTCGGGCTTCAGGGCCAAAGGCCCTTGGCAGCCTTGGACTCAGGCTGTTTTTATATTAAGCAGAGAGGTTGTATTGATTCATCCATACGTTTCTGGGTTTCCTTTCCCTGACAACACCTTTCTTCGGTCAATCCGAGCCATGATGTTGCCCTTAAGCCAGGGTAGAAGTCTCACAAGAATGGCAAAGAACTAAAGTTTATGTGCCTTGAACCCCATATTCCCACAGCAGCCTCCAAACATCTCCAAGCCCTAGCCGCAAAGCCCGGAGCATTGAAACCCTCAACAGAGCCACATTAAATCCCACGACTTGGAGAAGTCGATCGTGTGCAGGTGCCCTGTCGCCGCTGTCCGTGGCTTTAGTTGCGCTGGGGGCGAACGGTGGGCGTGCCGAGGATGGGTCTGCCGCGCGAAGTCCTCCTGATAGGTCGTACTTCGGCCACTATGGGATCAGGATTGGATCAGGGATCGCAGAGCTGACTTGTTTCCGCTGTCTCAGCAGCCTGATTGACGATGCCATTGCGTCAAAGTGCCTCAATGCCTGGTCCCGGGCCGCTCTATTGTTCCTTGTCGCACTCTTTAGCCGAGTTTCAAAGCCAAGCCCGGACGTCTCAGCGATTCGGATCCCGATAATTGGCCCCAGGACGTTGAGAGCGTGGACTGGGTGGCTGGCGCCCGTGCAGACGTGGCTTTGCCATGCATGTTCGAAATTGGCGTTCCCCTTGTAACCCCACGTTTTTTTTTTTTTTTTTTTTTTTGGGGGGGGGGTTCGTTCATAAATCAGCATACAGCGTTTAGCCTCAACCCGAAACCCTAAACCCCATCCTTCCTAAGCCCTAAGCCCTCTCCGTAGGATGAATGGAGGTTGCCGAGCTCTGCCGCTGGGACGAAGCACTTCTGCAGTCCCTGGCACCTGGCAAGGCACGAAGGAAAAGGCTTCGGGTTTAGGGCTTCAGGGCTGTGGGTTTGGTCAGGCAGACTAGAATGGCTGGAGACCAGAGGTTCCGACAGCTTGCCAGTCTCCAGACTGTTGATGGACGAAATCCTGCATCACTTTTATTATTTCAGGTCATCCCGTCCAAACCCTGAATCTTAACATTGCCGTCCTTGCAATGCGTTGAATGGGCATGTGTGTGAATGACCGGAATCCTGCATCATGCATAATAGGCGCACGCAACACTGAGATTCGAGGGGCGCGGGGAGCTCGATTACCAACCGATAAAGCTGTGGCAGATTTTGTAGGGGAACACGCACTTGAGACCCCCCAACAACAATCAGCTCTCTTGACAAACCCCGCAGACCTAAGCAACCCATGCGAGGTTTTTCGAGTGCTCTGAGTGGGTGGGCAGCTTGTGGGATCAGGCCCTCGGTGCTCCTGAAGCGTGGTAGGGCTTGAAGGGTCGTTCTTTTCTCCTAACTTTGGGTGGGATTTTCCCCGCCCTGGTCACCCTGGTCCAAGCAAGCAGCTCTTACTCAGCCAGCCTGCCACCTGAAGCTCGCTAATCGACCTCGCACCCGGCTGGTATGGATCGAGGTCCGCACAGTGGCTACCATAGTCATACTGCAAGCGACCATGATGGTAATGATTATGCCAGTAAGGATGATCGCATGCACAGACCAAGGGCCAATGAGGGCCGGTGCAGAACGTGTGGGACCATGCTCGTCTGCCAGCCTGGAATATTGCAAACCCTCATGAATAAAAGCCATAGCAAGATGATATCAAAACATAACCAATTGTTATCGGTATTTCGGGCAAGCTTCGACGCTAGAGCCCTCAACTCGACACCTCACTGGGTTTCTGCTTTGCCTCGGAGGTGACGAGCTCCGGCACACGGGTGGAGGCAAGACTCGGCTTAGGGTTTTGGTTTAGGGTTTAGGGTTTAGAGTTTAGGGTTTAGAGGTTATATAGGGCTTATAGGGTTTAAAGACAAGGGCTTGTGTCAGTGATGGCCGGAGGCGATGCATTTTGGGGTTCTATTCCATGTTCCGCCTCCATGTGGAGTGTACATGTAGCACACGTTGGTAGAAGGTCAGCCAACCCACCCCTGGCGTGCTACAGCACTGGCATGTACCTCTATCAAGTCCTGCCTCGATTATTTGATCCCCTGACGGCGTCTTCACGCAGCTACGTAGTGGAGTTCTCGCTTCAGCAGGTCTATGGCTTGATTTCGAGATGGAGCTTTATTGTCACTAGCTGCTTGAGCACTCGAGCCTAGGATGGTATGAACTATGAACCTCATCTCTGAACTAAACCCCTGAACATCTCAAAACCCTAAACCCCTCAACCTCGATCAGGGCTGACCTTCAGCTCAGCCTCGACGAGCTCTGAGATGATCCCCTGCGGCTTTGTTCTCCTGTCCAGAGTAGTCTTTGAGATGCCCCGAGGGTTGAGGGGTTTAGGGTCTAGGGGCCAGGGGTTTTCAGTTTAGGGTTCAGGGGTTTAGGGGCCAGGGATGTTGAGGTTTATGTGATCTAGAGTTTAAGGTTGAGGGCTTTTGAGGTTGAGGGCTTGAGGGGGAATTCGTCTTGAAGTTTACATCAGTCAGTGGTGTCAATGCACGAAGATGTTCACGGCAGTGATGCCAAGAAGCTGCTAGGGACATGTGGCAAAGCCACGTACCCTGAGCCCCCAAAGCTAGCAGCCGCAATCGTTTGACAGATGCACGGAAAAAGTCACCTCATGCAAGTTTGAAGAGACGGGCCGACAAACACCCAAAAACCTTGCACCCGAAACCCCTACAGTAGAAATTTTATTTAAAACCCTAGTTACTCAGCAGGACCTGTCGCGGGGCCTGTGTATGTATCTAGCACGTTTGTAGTCGAAATCAGGCTGTCGAAAAGCGCAGGCGCCTAATGGCAGGACGCTCCCCGAAAACCTTTAAACTGAAACCTTAAACCCTTAAAAACACCTGAAACCCATACTTAAACTACAACCCTGGAAAAAAAGAAAACCTTAAAACCCTAAACCCGACAACTCTTTTTGAAATTGAAAGCCCCGGAACCCCAAATTCAAAAAAAAAAAAAAAGCGCTGTTTCCCCCCCCCATGGCTCGCAACGCCTCCCTCCAAGGCCACCAGGAGCGCACTGCCGCGGCCGGGGGGCCAGGGGTTCTTGTTGGGCTTTAGGGTTTAGGGTTCAGGGTTTAGGGTTTAGGGTTCCCCTACTTACTACCCCCGCCTAATTATACTACTGTATCCCCCCCCTAGGTTCACCCATAATTGAGGCTCTTTCGGGTGTAGTAGGAAAAATCATATTTGTTGTCTTGGGCGTATGGGGCTGATAGGGCTGAGAATATCGGCCGAAGATCAACTTTCAGGGTGTATGGGTTCCAGGGGTTGACATACTCTAGGGAGGATAGAATAGTTTTTGCAGTGTTTAGGGGGTTTAGGGACTTTCGGGGGGGGTTTCGGGGCTCAGGAATGAGGGATTCCTTTTTTGGGGGGGAG